CACCCAGCAGTTATGGGATTTGATTTTACTGTGATTGCGCCCCTTGTACCGTCTCATTGTGGCCTCTCCTTTGTCTTTGGATGTGGGGTATCTTTTTTGGTGAGTTCCAGTGTCTTCCTGTTGATGATTATCCAGCAGCTAGTTGTGATTCTGGTGTTCTCGCAAGAGGGAGCGAGAGCACGTCCTTCTACTCCGCCATCTTGATTGCTCCTCAAAATATCTCAGAGGCTGAGATTATGAGCCCAGGAATTTATGCTGCTGCCACCATCTCTGTAGCTACCACTACAGCATCATTTCCATGGAGCTGAATACTTGACACTGGAAAGTGGGGCCTGGTGGACTCACTTCAGGAGACAGTCACGTCTATCAGTTTTGCTTGCCATCTGTCGTATCTATAGAAGAATCCAAACCATCTTCTAAAGCAAACATATGTCATAGATGTTTGGTTTCCCCTGAAGAAAAATAGATTATTCTATACTAACAGATGGTAAAGCCTGAACAACTAAGGACAGCATATTCTAAATGTCTAGGCTTGTCAATTGTTCTAAAGGCCAAATAATAAATTTTTCTTTATAAAAACCTATATTCGGGCTTCCCTGGTGGCACAGTGGTTGAGAGTCCGCCTGCCGATGCAGGAGACACGGGTTCGTGCCCCGGTCCAGGAAGATCCCACATGCCGCGGAGCGGCTAGGCCTGTGAGCCGTGGCCGCTGGGCCTGCGCATCCGGAGCCTGTGCTCCGCAACGGGAGAGGCCACAAGAGTGAGAGGCCCACGTACCGCAAAAAAAAAAAAAAAAAAAAAAAATCTCCCCAAACCTATACTCTTCCTTTTGGTAAAGTTCCTGAAAAGTTTACTTCATGTAAAGTTTAATCTCCATGTTAATCTTCAATCAGTGTGCAATACCAAGAATTGCCCCTCTCATGATTATTCAATTACTCTACTCATAGGTGGATAGAAAGTCATCATGTACATTTAGTCCATGCCTTGAGATTCCTGTATCAGGAAGAAAAGTTAACCAGCTGTGAGGGAGACTGGTTTCTAAACCTATATAGCTAGGTAATATTTTGATAGTATTTTGAGGTTTTTAACTAAATGGGCCCTTTCATTGTCCATTCTCTTAAACAAATTGCTCTTCTCTTATTTACTAATAAGCATTCATTGCCCCAAGTAAGGGGGAAATATGGCAGAAAAGCAGAGAAATTACTTTTAAGTACCAAAAACTAAGGCATTTCCATATCAAGAACCTGCGTTTAGCTTCAAAATTTGAAGTCCTGAAGGACTCAGGGTTTTATATTTATGCAATAAACAATAGATTAGATAAACTGAAATGCAGGATACCCCCCAGCATACTGAGATTTAGGCTGGAATTACTACTGTTTGAGCTAGGCTCTCTGGGGTAACTAAATTTGAGCATAGTATTTGATAAAGTTTACATAATGCCCTTGAGGAAAATGTCTGCCAAATGGTAGTGATTTAAGGGGATTCATAAGTTGAATGGTATTATCAGCATCAACTTTGAGCCAGGTTACCAGTGGCATTCTGTGGGGCTCTGCTTTGTTCAACATTTTAATAATTTAGATAACAAATAGAAAGTTTGCCAGTCAGAGTTTTGAGAGGTTTGAAATTAGGAGAGAGTAGACATTATGTTAGAAACCACATGAGAGATTTAAATAAAACCAGCCAGATAGGGAAATTGGGCCAGATTTAACAAGATAAAAAATATACAAGGATAAATGTAAAGACCTGGGTTTAGAATTTCAAAGAGTAAAACAAAACAAATGAGGGGCTGGGCAAGGCCTGCCTGAAAAAATATTTCTGTGAGCATGACCTGGGCATCTGAGTTAATTTCACACTCAAGCTGAATAGATGAGGTTTTTGCCAAAAAGATAATGTTTCATTGGGTTGTATTGTACTTTGGAGTGGTCAAACTATACCTGGAAGAGTGTGCTCAATTCTTATTTTTAGCTTCTGGGTTGGATATCAATGAACTGTAGGATATCTAAGGTATGTTGCTAGGATTTTATATTCAGAAAAAAAATGTTTCTGAATTCCTCTTATGTGCTAGACAATGTCCTAAGTACTAGGGATATAGTGGCAAACAGAACTTAAACATGGTGAATCTGGAAAGGGGATGATTAATCTGGAGATGGTATGAGGGTCCTTGGTAGCTGACATCCATTGAACAGCTGACATATGCAAAAAGAATTAGCCTGATACTGTGTGGCTCCAGGGAGATTAGGCAGAAGTTATAGGGGTGCAGATTTTGGTTACAGCATCTGTTCACAAGTGGAGAGTATGGCCTTGGGTTGAAGAATCCCTTGTCATTCTCCAGCAGAGGCAGAAGTGCATCTGTCAGGGTAAATGATATAACGCAGAAAACATTTAGCACAGTACATGGGGATGTCACAGGTGCTTAGTCAATGGAACATAATAATTGTACAGGGTTTTCTTATATCTTTTGGGAGTAATGATAGATGATTCTAGAATTCTAGAGAACAGAGACTCTTACCATATTTTTTCTCGTGTGCCTACTACAGAAGTTGGCATATGGTTGGTGGTCTTTAAGTGTCAAATAAATAAATGAGGGATCTGTATCATCTCTAAGACTGTACATTAATAATTGTGATGTTAAAGAAGTAGCAGAGTTCAGAAATCATTGTTTCCAGTTCCATTTTCAGTGACAATGTGATTCGACATTACATTTTTTCAGCATCCTTTTTTTTTGCTTATTACTTAAAGAAAATCTCAGTCATTCTCAGGAGCACATGGATCTTTTTGTCACTTCATAGAACATTCAGTGACTTGTAGATCTACTGAGAATTTACAGAGGATCAATAATTTCATTCTCCAAATCAAGTAGGGTCCTTTTAAAGCCCAGCTCATCCTGTTATAACCTGCATTATTCTGATCTGCACAATACATCCTTCTCCTCATTTATGAAATCCTCTTGCTTCCAGAAGATTCTCATTGTATGAATATATTCCCTTTATTCTCAAAAAGAACATTATTAATTTCGACATTCTTTCTAATCACTCCTCTTCCCCTGAACTCACCTGGAAATAATTATTCCTAGTCCTCTCATGAGCTGGATAAATGTGTCCATGTTAACTATCCTAAGACTCTCTAACGCCTCTTGAGTGCTTACCGTGTGCAGGGGGCCTGACGTATCTTATTTCCCTTAAAGGTCCTACCAACTTTATGGTGTTGGTGTTGTTATTCCCAGTTTACAGATTAGGAAGTGGAGGAGCTCTAGGATTTGAACCCAGTTCTTTGTCTTAACCTCTTAGTCCCTATGGACGCTTCATGTCAGTTAGAATTTTGGATTGAAACTGTAAACATGCTAAAAAGAGAAATGGAAAATTGGGCTTTGTTTTGAATGGGGTTTATCTTTGTCAAATAAATTGCAAATCTCCTTAGTACAACTGACCATAACCAATGAGAGATTCAAAGGCTGATGATATCGCGCCAAGTGTCCCCATATTTCAGGGTTAGGTGAGTCCCTATCAATCAGACTAGAAAGTTTCTTCCAGAAGTTTCAGGACAGCGTCCTGGTCTTAAGACAAGGAGTGAGGTGCTGACTTGCTCAAGGTCATCAAGCTGGTTAACAGTACAAAAAGGACCAAAGGCCGGGCTTCTAGGTTTCCAGATGATTTCCAAACTAGACTTCCAAAGTTCCTGGGGAACTTTGAGTGAAATCATGGACATTTTCCCCTGAAGAGAGACTACTCAAACATTAGACACAACAGAAGAAATGTATTTTGATAGATTCAAGCTAAAAAAAAATCTTGATTTATGATCAAGCAAGTGTTTATAAAGCATTTCTGAACCCCTTAGACAAAGGTACTTTCTAAATGAAAGTTTCATTTGATCCTTTTGAAATGTTTATTTTAGGCAAGCATTCTTTTTTTTTGTTTTGCGGTACGTGGGCCTCTCACTCTTGTGGCCTCTCCCGTTGCGGAGCACAGGCTCCGGATGCGCAGGCCCAGCGGCCACGGCTCACAGGCCTAGCCGCTCCGCGGCATGTGGGATCTTCCTGGACCGGGGCACGAACCCGTGTCTCCTGCATCGGCAGGCAGACTCTCAACCACTGCGCCACCAGGGAAGCCCAGGCAAGCATTCTTTTCATAAAATATTTACACATGCTCTAAGAGCAAACATTCACATTAGTATGTGCTAAAGATCTGAAATTTACTTAACCAAAATTGTTTGCTTTTCTGGGTCCAACCAGCAGGATTTCCAGCAATTCAAAAGAGGTAAAGGGATTTCCTCACAAAGCCTGTTAAAGAATCAGATAGGAATTTGGAAAGGGCAGTTCGAAAATAAGGCTCATTTAGAATAAGAACTTCCTTAAGATCTTGACTTGAAGAGTCTACACTAGCTCAAACCCCTGCAAAATGAGCAAATAAGGCATAATTTCCCCAAGACTTTAAGCCAAAAGCCAAAATCTTGCTAAATTCTTTTCACTGCCAAGGACTCAGTTAATGTTGCAAAGAATGAAGCACATAGGTTTTAGCAGTTTTTTCGGATTTCTAGAAGAGAGAATAAATTTGGGACTTGCCTGATTTATCAAAAGAAAATAATAGTGTAAACTTCTGCCTCTATTAGAGATAATTCTAAGATGTCAAAATATTCCTAATGTTGGTAGCAAGACTGGTGGTAGGTGTATTTTGAATGGAAAAGGACCCCACCTGTTCCTTTGAGCTTATTTTTGAATAAATCTCCTGGGAAATCACAAAGAATAAGCTCTTTCTGATAAGGAAATCTCACTGCTAGAAGCTCCATGATGTAGCAGAAAGAGCATTGGGACAGGGCAGCAGAGTTTCTAGGTTCTTCTTCCAGCTTTGCTGCCTATCAGATATTGCCCTTAGGTAAATCACTTACCCTGCCTGTGCCTCAGTTTCTCCCTCTGTAGAAGGAGGGCAACGGACCATTTCTAAGGCTTCACTAGTGTTTTTTCGTGTATGTCCTTTTCTGGTGATTTAGCTATGGTTCTTTCCCAGGCTTCTCATGAATCCACCTCCCAGAGGCACTGTATCCTTATGAGGTACAGCTTCTCTCTACCCTTGAAATGATAATTATAAGGTAAGAGGCACACGTATCAATTCTTCATCTTTTAAATCACTTTTCCTACATGTAGAAAACTTGTAAAACTTTCTCTGTTGTAACCTTATCATAGTTTTTCTTTGCTCTCTTTCAGAAAAGAAAGTGGCAGTCACTTAAAACTATGCAAATCAGGTTTGTAAGGGGAATGTTTGATTTCCTTAAGAAAATTATCTCTTTAAGCATTGCAGCCAGTTGTTCTAATGATGCGATAATGACACAACTAAATGGAGTAGGTTTTGGCAAGGGCTCACAGTCTGTTAGCCTTAGCTGGATTTATAAAACATGATTGATAGTAATGAGGCCCATTTCTTTCAGAGGGGTTTTATGGTAGAGGCTTTTTACTCTGTTTGTGGCTATACACATAGAACTAATTAGGCCTTCGGATCCAAATTGGCCTATCAAATTGAGTAAGGGGAAAAAAACAATTAGTTACCTTTGAAAAAGTATAGTCTTCCAAAAAAGTTAATCTAGTTGTACATCTAAAATACTTTTCAGTCTGTGGATCAAGACAGATTGGCAGGTTTCGAGATCCGTGTATTGGCTCAGGGGCAGCCTTAAAAAAATAATACAGACTAGAATAGAAGATATCAGAGTATATCATAATAATGATTAGTATTGATTTGTGAAAATTAATTTTATTTATATACAGGGAACACATGTATATGCATATATGTTCCTGATCAGAATGTAAATTTTATTTCTCACTCTAGGTCTGGTTACAAAAAGGTCAAGTTCCTGGGGAAAGATATTCTGAGTTGGAGGTTTGTGTGCATTGGGTTTACTGGGAAGTGCAGTGCAGGAACAACATCTCAGAGAAGGAGAAGGAGGTAGGATTGGGGAGAAGAAGAAACTGAACAGAGATGCAGTCACAACAGAGGTCTCCGCTGATCCCTATGGGGAGCTTGGGGGCTTGGAAGACCTGCAGTTGTACTCAACCAGGGAAGGGGGCAGGGCCTTTGTAGCCCCGCAGCTTGATACTGGTTGTAGGCTCCTCCCAGGGGAGGGGCATTACCACGGATGAGGTAGCTCCCTTCGTTGGCCAAGGGCAGTTCCAGCAGAGGAACTCAGCTGTGAGCAGTCAGCAGCCTACGCAGCTGGAAAAGTGAGGGCCTGGGTGCTGAAGGGGGCCATCTTGGAGGCGCCCACAGCATCCACTCAGCCACTACCTAGATGGAGCCTGAGTCAGACCACCCCCAACTCCAGGGCAGGGGCTCTTAAAACCTCAGCATTACTGGAATTCAAGCCTGGAAAACCTTTTGTGTGGGGGCTGTCCTGTGTATTGCAGGATGTGATAAAGAAACTGACTCCATTTTTGATGATCACTGACAACTTTCAAACCCTGACACTTCCCATTGCCTTTTTGCCCCGCAGCTGAATAGTCCTAAGAAAGCTAGGATGTTCCTTTCCTTGGCTCTAGCAGGGAAGTTCAAATCAGGCAACCCCAGGCCTGTGGGTGGGACCCCTTACCCTAGAATTACTTCCTAACCACAGTAAAAACCCAAGCCATTTTCAGGCTGGCTTGGGCACCTGCACTCTCCAGGAAGGCTTATTATGTGAGCGATAAACCTTTTCATACCCCCTTGGTGTTTGTGTGTGCATGTGATCATCAGTCTTGGTATCTGAACCAAATTTTAGACACAGGACACTCCACATCATCCCTGTCCTCTACCCAGCAGATGCCAGTAGTACCCAATACCCTCCAAGATGGGACAGCCAAAATGTCCCCAAACATTGCTAGGTGCCTTTGGGGGACAGAATCACCCCTGACTGAGAACTGCCGCTCCTTACATAAATGAATCTTTGCTAAGAGCAAAGAGCATAAATGAATCTTTGCTAAGTAGGCAACTGGTAGCACATTTAAGTCCAGTGTGCTGTGTTCCAAGAATTTTTATATGATATCTGGAAAAGACCTGTGGTCATTCTAAATTCTTATGACTCAACGATATGGTTGAGTTGAAACCTATAGTTTCATAGGTTCTGTGTGATTAGATAGGATGTCTGGTTTCCTACAGTCTGGCTGTGAAGTCAGAGTGGGTGGTCCGGTGAGAAAGCAGGCTGGAGGCTTTACACTTTGATTGCTTTATTTATGGGCCATAATAACTCCTTCTTTGGAAGGCACATAAAATCATTTAGGCCCGGTAAAATGAGATAATGTGGTGGTTTGCCTTTGCCTGCCATTTTAAAAATCCATTTTATGAAGTGGGAGTGAAGCAGAATGGTATAGTTGGATTTGAATCACTAGAGTTTTGACTTCCCGTCTTGCGTGCTATTATGCTGTTTCAAAGATTAGAAACTGCAGAGAGGAGAATAGAGGAGTTTAAACAAAAATCAACTCATTTGTATAGTACTTCAATATTGACACACACTGATGTAAGTTTCACTTTTGCATATTCTGGTTTGGTCAATTCAAGGCTAATTTTATTGAAGAGAAAGAAAGTGGTTTTTAATGGGGTAATTACTGACTCATCTGTGAGGAAGTCATTGTCTCATTGCTGGGCTTGGGTGCCAAAGGCATGCTGGGCAGTGCCATCAAGTCTAAAGAAAGCATAAGAGCTGGGAAACACCATAGAAATCTGTGCAATGACTTCTTTTCTAGACAGGATTCTTTTGATTGCTAGGAACAAGGCCACTCAAGTTAGAGCAAGAAAATTGGACATTATTATAAGGATTCAGCAGGCTTCCTGGAATCCACGAATATGACACAGAGCATTGCTTGATCTCATGGGAACCAGGAAGCTGGCGGAAACTAGGTCCGCCTTTGCCACCATTTCTCAACATTGTTTGCCTCTGCTTCAGGTTTGCTTCATTTTCTTGCCTTCGCTATGGGTTGTTTTCCTCTGGCATTCCTCAGATTATCAGCAATCCAACTACTGGACTAAGGGCAGGAGTTAACATGACTTCCCCTTAACTTCACACATTTACTGGCCCAGAGGCCCAAAGCCAAATTTCTAGAAGAAGAATCTGATTGGCTCAGCCTGAGTTATGCGTCCATTCTTCATCCTATCAGCTCTGGCTACCTGGGCCAACTCCTTCTCCCGTGTTGTGGATGGGCAAGTGTGGCACACCCGGTCTGGTAGACTTTCATTTTAAAGATAAGAGAACTGAACACCTGCGGGGGGAAACGATTTGTCCTTGGTTATGTAGCCAGTTACTGACTGATGGATAGTAATAGAACCCAGGGTTCCTTATTCCTCTACAGTCCACACCACATTGCTCGCTCCACATTTTTTTAATCATCAAAGGTGTATTATGTCTGTCACACCTTTCTAGCCTTTCTTCCTAGTTAGAGGGAAGAAGAACACTCTTGGGTTGGGCAACTGGGGCAAAAGGGTGACTGGCAAGTTGGAGATGCATCCAGGTTTTCTGCGTAACTATTCCATAATTAGTAGGTTGTCTTTTAATTGCTTTGTAAATTCATTTGCTTTATTGAGGTATAATTTACATATTATAAAATTCATCCATTTTAAGTGTACAAGTCAATAAACTGTAGTATATTCATAGTTATACAACCATCACCACAATCTAGTTTCAGAAGATTTCCATCACCTAATGCCCATGTACAATCATACATTACATTAATGAATTTGTTGCATATACAACAACAATCTAATTCAATATGTTATATATATATATATTTAAGCTCTATAAACCAGGCATTGTGCTAAAAAAGTTACAAAATATTATCTTTGTTCTGTGTGTCTCGTACTTGACCTGTGATGTATATCTAAATAATACATGAAAATTGCTGTAATAGATGTATGGACAAAGTGTGATGGTGATGCAGAGGAAAAGCCAATTAATTCATCAGTACATAATATAAAATAATCATTTATAATAATTTATAACTATAATGACATTAAAACGGTTGTCAATTATGAAACTTACTGTGAGACTGACACTGTGGTACATATTTTATAATTTAATACTAGTTTTACAGAAAATCTATCTCTCCCTTTTTTACATTCAAAGATTATGATATTTGAAATTACATTTAACTTTAAACCAATTTGAGAAATATATATTAGCTATCTACGTACCAATCACCATTGATAACACTAAAAAAGGAATGTTGTCCTGGCCTTTACAAGTCTAGCAGTGGAAGGATATACTCACAAATTACTATTTTATAAAGGTAGAATATTATCATATCCCTTCAAATAGCTACGAAGTCATAGAAAAGGGAGAGATTATATCTTATGAAATTAGGGAGTTCTCCTTGTAAGAGGTAGTAATTATGCTCTACCTGGAAGAAAGGGGAAAATGTTAAAGCTAAAAATGGACCTTGGTAAGATGACAATTTATTGTTCATAGTTGGACAGTAAGAGAGATAATTGCACTGATTACACTGATGCAATAGGAATAAACTGGGATTTTCCTGGGAAAACTGGGATGTGTGATCACCCCAGTCATTGGAGGGAAGCTATGACAGGTGGAGAAGACATGAGCAAGAGCTCACAGTTGGGAAAGGGGAAGGCCATTTATGGAGACAGCATATGAAATGATGTTGCCGTGCTTACCAGTATTCTCCTTTATAGGGGCCATATCTAACGGATTCTGTCCTCTCCAATTGTGGTGGGTCATGAGTTCAATTTCCCACTAATTCCCCACCCTCTGTTTGGGGACAACAAGGGATGAGGATCCTGGGATTCATGGGAAGATGGAGACTTTGGATATTCAGTGGCCAGCAGGCTGGACTGTGGAGTTCCTCACTCAGCTCCCAATCCATTTTCTTTCTCCAGGTAGAACCTTTTTTCCTCACTCTCGCTTCAAGTACACTGGTTCCTCTACTCCTACAGTCTGAGTTATATTTCTAATCTCACCTCCCCGTTTCTAGCCCGGTTTTATCTATTTTTATAGAAAAGCAAATTCTTCAAACTTTTCTGTCTCTAATTCTGTCAGCTGATTATTTGAGTCTTTGCTTCTGGTTGAGTGTGGGCTAAGGGAAAATGGTGAGTTATTACACTGCCATACAATTAATCTATTATGGTTGTTACCCAGTTGTAACTAGGGCAGTGGTGGTGGGAATGGAAAAATTCATGAGTGAGGGACACATTTGTTTTGAGTGCAATTCCTCTGGTCCAGTTTCAAAATGCAGAACCTCACAGAAGTAGAGAGACTAA